GAGGCATATCAAGCATAGATATCTGTGTTCTCCTACTCCATGTGGCCCTAATTTTCAGTTGAGTTTGATTTGCTTGGTTTACCCTCTGGCATTACCACATTTAGTAAAGCACAAAAAGTAATTGCCAGAAAACCTTGCAGGGTCTGCTTCCCCTCCTGATGCCAGCTGTTGGTTATACAGGATATAGGTCCAGCAATGTTTCCCCACTACCGTACAGCCAAGTTCAATGTAGATGCAGATTTTTGCTGTTGAGTTATAATAAACAGGATTTATTACTTTGTATTATCATGTTTAACCAATAGCACACTATACCTCATAGGAATTTAACTATGATAATCTTCTATCCCGTTGTAATAACCGTGCTGAAAACACAGTATGAATGTTAGATGCAGCATCTGCTATCTGTTCCTCCGACAAGCCAATATAAAGGAAGCAGAGATAAAAGAAACACATTTATTTGCGGGTGAAAGTAGTGTTACCCATTCCGGATATAACTTGGAACAATGCTTAGAAATGCTATAAGGTTCCTCTTGCTTTATTCCAATATTTCTTATATATGCTATTTTTCAGTGGGTAAGTGGAAGTTGTTTGGCAATGAGACCAGAATTTGGCTATGAAATACTACTATGTGTTTTTCCAGCTAAGATATTGCTTTTTTTACTGGAACTGTAAATAGAATGGGATTGATTCCAGATACAAAACAGATATCCAGGAGAACATTAAGCAGAACTGTATGGTGTGGGACCCCTGTGAGAGCAATTCTCTGAAATACAAAGAAGAATGAATCAGCATACTATCAGCTATGGAGGCAGCTCACAGATGTAGAATGTTGTGCATGCTTCAGACAGATACATACCTTTCAACATTTCCAGTGAAGGACACTTAGAGGAAATGTAAAAAAATAGAAGCAGTCTACAGCACATGTATACTGTACTGTGCAGTAAGTTAGAGCTTCATAAGTTCATTTAAAATGATAAATCTGTAAGCACATAATGTCAATGATCATAATGGTGATGCCAGCAACATGAAAACAGCAGATTTTAGCTTCTAGTAATTTTATGTGTCTTGACAAATAAAACACGTCTCATTCCTAGCTGTGAGCTACTGCAAATAGATTGAAAGGACAAACAAATGTATTTGCTCAATTGTATCTAGTTCAGGTCAATAATATTGCATAGAGCATTACAGCTTCCCCTTGTACAGTTTCTGCACAGCCCAGATTGCACCTGTACATTTTGTTCTTCAAACTTTTAAGCAGTTGTATTTTGCGAAATATCACACCCCACAAAGATTAATAGCAGAGCTCTGGCAGGAGATAAGAGAATCAAAGTTACACAGAGGTGATCTCGGCAAGCATCCTTACTAACGCTGCTTTTGGACTTTAGAGGGAGGACAACTGTGCAGGAGTGATCCAACTGTGCTCAGGTCAAGTTCTCAGCATGATGTTGGGATGCTGGACAAGACTTTATCACAGGGCCAATTCAACCCATAGTAAGTATAACAGGAGCTGAGTCATCTTCCAGCTTCTTAATTGCCTTGAATTCTGTTGCATTCTTCATAATATAGGAAAAATAAAAAATCCAGCAGTACAAATTGGATCCCTTCTTAATGGCCCAAGCAGACTAAGGAAATCAAGGACATAGATCTGACCAATAGCATTCCAAAAGAAATGAGAAATTGTCCAATGTTTTAACCCTTCGGTTGTGTGTAAATTAGCCCTTCAACTTTTATAATCTGTCCAGTTGCTAATTTTTCCAGCTTGCTCTTGGGTTGCCTATGGTTATGAAACTGTGACCTGGCTGAAAAGTCTAACACCTTCATAAAAACTAAGAGAAGTCCGATAAAAATACACAAGACAAATACAAAGATAAAAATATATAATGGTCTATATCCACCTTTAAGGGCAAAAGGAGAGCTAGAGACACAATGAAAGCTGACATTGCCTGCTGTAATGACTCATGAGCTCATATTAGCAACATATTAACATATAATTGGGGATGGCAAATACAGACATCTAGCTATGCATGGAATCTAGTAATTTCAGCCACTTATGACTTATGGATATTTGAGTCAGTGGTATCCCAGTAACTAACTATGACTAATCTACAAGTCTGGAAACATTCCCAGCTCATTACAAGAAAGATACTATTAATTTCACAGTCATAACAGGTCATTGCAACCAACATGTCTAGTTTTAAAGACCTGGGAAATCTTAGGCAGTAGAGTCAAAGTGGAACTATAGCCTTTTTATTTTTTTATATAAGTAAATGGAAGAGATTGGCTTAATGTATTCATTCTTATCAACATGTTACTTTTGAAAAGCCCTGTTTCTAAGTATAGGTTGTAATTATGCTATATATGTACATGAAAGCAGCCATATTTGTTCATTAAATGACCAGGTACTGCTTCATGCTTAGTAGTGTTGCACAGTGACTATGAGGGGGATTTATCAAAACTGGAGCAGACAAAATCTGGAGTGTCTGTGCATGGTAACCAATTAGCCTCTTTCTTTAATTTTCAAATCTGAAACAAACAAACTGAAGAGAGAAGCTGATTGGTTGCCATACAGAGCTGCTCCAGATTTTGTCTGCTCTAGTTTTGATAAATCCCCCCTATGTCTTTTCTGATCCTCTTACCTTATGTCTAAAAGACAAGGTTTGTCTGACTGAAATGGAAAGGTGTTTCTAATAATATGAAATGTCTCCAATACTCCTGATAGCCAAATATTATGTGATCTTTTGCTTAGGCCACATTACAGAGCTTAAAGAACTAATTTTATTTTATCCTTGCAAATAAAAAGATTTTACCAAAATTATAAGGTGATTTTGTAATAAAACCATGTTCTGTAGATTCAGGTCAATTTAATGAAAGGTCAATTATAACACCCTCCCACCAACAGTCTGTAGATTAATATTCCCCTACCCAATGCCCTTTGTTGATGGAACATTAGTCTATGTTGCTCCTTTCACAGTTAGCAACCAACACTATGATACCCTGCTATAACTTATAGCTCCAGTTTCAACTAATGATCGGGGAACAATCAGTGTGCCGCCCCAACAGGGGCATAGAATATGAGATGCATACAGAGTGGTTCCTTATCATCGGATCATTGTATTAGCTATGACAGTGATCACAAGAAGACTGAAGGCTTCGTTCACAAAATAATCCTTCAGCTTGCAGATCCAACCGCAGGCCGAAGATGGCAGTGTTCCTCTGTTTGATACTGTATTTGTCAGACACAATTACAGAAATTAAAAAATTATGATAAACACATTTATTTTATTTTATATTTTGCAATTGGCAGCTTATATTAAAAAAAGCAGTGGGTTTTTGTTTTGTTTTTAAAAAAAAGAAAAAAAACTTTTAAAATAAACAGTCTAGCAAATAAAAGTCTTAGATGTCCTTAAAAATAAAAATATTTAAGTATGCAAATTAGTCATAGAGTTACAGCCAAGTTAACCAATGCAGCCTGTGCATACTGTATATGCTTAAATGACCTCTGATCACGAAACGGTTAAAGTGGACCTAAACTCAAAAAGATAATGATTCTATTAATAAAACAGACTAAACAACCACAGAGAATCATCATTTGTTGGCATTCCAGGGTTGGGTGCTTTTCCTGCTATGCCCATAGCCTAAATGCCCTCAGCACAGTTACTAAATAGTCCTGAATAAATGTTTGGTATTGGGTGGAAACAATCTTTAGTCTTTAACCCATAGGTACTGCTAGTTCAGCACTGCTGGGGAAAACTGTGAACACATCAGACTGTTGATAAAGCATACAGCTTTCAACTTTAGAAATAAATACATCTGCAATTAAATTAAACATTATATTATATAATATTATAATGCCAATAAAGCCACATGATTTACAAAGATATTCTTTTTTGTGTGATGTTAATGACACATTATTTGTATCTATTGACTGTCTTTATCATCACACTACAGAAATTATATTTGGGTACAATTGCAAAACGTATGATGTTCAATTACAGCAGAACTCCAGGCAGATACAATAATACACCAATTAATGCAGTTATGTATTCATATTAAAGTAATTACATGTAGTTTAAATGCAACTAGTGTTAAGTACTACAATTTGTTGGATATCAGTCTACTGTTACTCCCTCACATTAAATAGATCAAACCGCACTCTTTATCTCCACCAAACATAAAGCTTTATTCTTATTGTTGAATTATGGTCACACTGTCGTCCCTGTACTGGATTACCCTCCGCTAACAGGTTTCACCCATTTGGGCTTAATTGTAGTGAATGTTCTGTAATTCCCTGTTCAGCAGCAATCAGACTGCGAGAGGGAGGGGAAGCACTAGGATCCAATCAGGCTTGGCGCCATGCACATTTGCTGACAATGGACAAGCAGGGAGGGGGGAAAAAACAGAGTGAGCAGAGGGATGGTTTCATTAGTGTGCCTCTTCTCCTTCACTATCCAATCAATAGTGGTGTTCTGACCATGCCATGCTGTTGATCCAGTAAACTTTGATGTCCTGCAGGGATGTCTGGATCACAAAGCTGGTGACACAGAATTGCAAACCCTAATGAATGTTAAACAGTAGCCATATAAGTATTTCAGCTACATATATAACCACTTGCCTAGGGTTTAGCTTTAACTGTATTGACACTGTAAGGGTAAAGCTTTAAAATAAATGCAAATATGTAGAAACCGACACCCGATATAGAGATTATTCCAACATATGGTTTGTTTCAAAATGGCATAAAAAACAGCAAGGGCTGAAATGCATCAACAATTATTGTATGCTGTTTTTATGCCATTTTGAAATAAAGCATATGCTGGGATAATTGCTATAGCGGGTGTCAGTTTCTACTTGTATGCATTTGTTGAGGTTCGTCAGAGACCTTTCCAAGCACTGAGGTTTCACTTGTGAATTTAGCTTGGGGGTAGAGTGGCTTTCCCTATGTATTTGGTTAAAAAGAAATGTGTCAAACTAATATAGCGCAAAAATAATTGGTGACCACGTACCGTAATCTTCCATGTACATTTGCTATTAGGTGGGTAAACTCCAGGAAATCCTTCACTTCCCAGTAGCCCACTTTCTCCAGTTAGATTTCCACCACAGTTAAAATGGTGCCTGTACAAAAGAGAATGTTGTTGTGTTTAAGACATTAGAATATGCAACATGCACAGAGCATAGTGAAGTTTTAAGTGCAACCATACCCTCGCTGTGGTAGAGAAACCAGTAGAGAACATATTGACTTATTTAATACATGTAAAGGGCGATGATAATGTTCTAATGCCCTGTCCATAGTAGGCAGTCAGGTTTTGCATTTCAGATCTGGTTACATCAGTCTGTCCAATGAAAAATTAATTATGGTTGGGTACTATACTTTGCACATTGGACATTGTACCTCACCATACTTGGCTTGCATAAAATCAACATCCACACTGCATTGCAGAGATGACTGCATGGCTTTGATCCATAGCCACCAATGAATACTAGTAATAGAGTGATGAAGGATGAATGAAGTAACATTTTAGCCACACCCATGTTAAAGCTGAACTCCAGGCATATATAAAAGACACAAATGAATGCATATCTGTAATCATTAATACATCATGAAAGAGGAACTTTACCTTGGCAATATTTGCCTCCCACTGCCCCTCTTCTGCGCCGCCATCTTTAAACATTTCAAGCAGAGACCATGGGCAATTCTAACTGCATGCAGAATCTTGTGCCATGCCTGCACCCCTGAACAAAACACTGCATCCTGGAATGTGGCAAGAAAAATCCAGGAGGCATTGAGCATCCTTACCTAATTCTAGCTTAGGCAAGGAATCAGGAACTGCTGCTCTGCAGCATAAAAAAAGTACCATTAAAAGAAAAAAAGAGAAAGAGGAGGGAGGAACCAGAAGCAAAATCATTTTTGAAATGGGTGGATCCGCTTTAAGTGTATTTTTTAAACGCAAGCAATGATTATAAAAGGGGCACCTGAATTTGACCTTGTATCAGCCTATTGAAGTCCTTGTACAGCACAGGGCTGGAGTGTGAGAGGAAGAAACAGTACAAGGAGCCCATCAGTTCAAGAGGCATGCTTATACAGGTGAATCTCGAATAATTAGAATATCGTGCAAAGTTCATTTATTTCACTAATGCAACTTAAAAGGTGAAATTAATATATGAGATAGACTCATTACATGCAGAGCAAGAAAATTCAAGCCGTGATTTGTCATAATTGTGATGATTATGGCTTACAGCTCATGAAAACCCCAAGAACCCCAAATCCACAACCTCAAAAAAGTAGATTATTACATGCAATCAATAAAACAAGGATTGTACATAGAACAATATCGGACCTCTGAAAAGTACAAGCATGCATATGTACTCAGTACTTGGTTTGGGCCCCTTTTGCAGCACTTACTGCAATTACTTTTGCACGATATTCTAATTATTCGAGTTTCACCTGTAGGCAGGAACAAGCTGGGTGGGTCCAAGATGACCTGGGTTCAGAGGAACTGGGTTGAATAATACTTGCCATCATGCTGAGAACATACCGAGTGTAAGAATCAAAGTGCTGTAGGAGAATCTCTGGATTGAACAAGAATATTACAGCAAAAGCTGTTCTGCTTAAGTAGTATTAGCACTCAGTAATGTCATGGCGCATGTCTTTAAATCTATATACAATGGACTTGTAATAAAACATATAATTGAATTCTATGTGATGAAAGACTGATCAGCTCAGAATAGACAGTCAAGTTTGAGTTGGCTGTGAGAATGGGCAGGCATTAGATATTGTATTGCACAAAGACTAACAAACCTGGAAAATCTATACAAACATTTAATACTCTCACTTCACAGGAAAAATAGGGAAGGTTGATTCATGTATGATTTAAGCCTAGTTCTCTGACTTAACCAAATATCATTTGACACAGCATAGGATGTCAGACATAAAGAGCAAAGCCCCCGGGGATCTCATAAAATACAAACATATTGGTCTGAGGTTTGCTTTATTCATCTGGATGTAAAATGCAGATGTTTCTATGAAATCTGACCATAAACTTCTACTGAACTTGTCTACTTGTAAAGACTGATGGGCAGATCAAGACCTGTAAATATGATACAATTTATGGGCCTCCAGCACATCTCCACCTATGTCAGTATCAATGATGTTCACACTATTTCATGTGCTTGGCAGTTCCAATACATCTAACACAAAGAAATGTATTCATCAAAGTTTAACCCCAACCAAAACATTTTAGGTTTGAATAGACTGGGTAAGATTTAGGCCCTCTGCAGTGGCACTATGGGGACCAGGTAGAGCTCCCCTCGTTTTCTGACAGCAAGAATGGGCTTTACCAGGTCAATGTTTCTAACCCTCTACTAGAGTACATTTAAAAAGTGTTTTAGCTGCTGCCATTGTCCCCCTGATGTTGGAGAGAAGTCTCCCAACTTCGTGTGCCTGTGACACCTTGTGGGTTACTTGGATCAAGCATGGAACAAGCATGCAACACCTAAAGTCAGAGCATAGTTGTTCTGTGCCAGGGCACATATAAATTGAGATTCAGCAGTTCAGGAGAACTTACCAATAAATTATCCTATATTTCCTCATATTTTCTTGCAAAATAGTTTTCTGAAGGGAATTTACATCTATGCAATGTAGGAACATGTGCATCACTACGTTCCATGCATTGCTGCGTTGTGACATCATATACCACTACAACCCACTAAGACAATGCACATGTGCTGTAGCAGGCCACAATTCAGGGCATTGGACCATAGTGCATTGCATTACAAAATTTGGTGGCACATGTGATTTTTAGGATGCTTTAATGCGCTGCTAGCCCATTGATTTTAAAGGGCTGTCTTAATGCAACACATGTTAATGCAAGACATGGTACGCATTAAGGCACATGCAATAACACATTGCAAGAATGTAAAAGGGTGCTTAAAATCATACCGATAATTTCTGGGCAAATGCCAGCCTACTAGATTTTTTAAATATTATTATGTATTACAGGTATTTGTGTAGTGCCAACAATTTACACAGCGCACATTCATATCAGTCCCTGCCATCAAGGATCTTACAAGCTATGCTCCCTATCTCACAGTTCTTGCAGATAGCTTCCTGACTGGGATTTGAACCAGGGACCCACAGTGCTGCAAGGCAGAAGTGATAACCACTACAGCACTGTCTCTTGGTAATGCTGGCACTGATTGTGAAGAATGTTCCAAGAACAGGCTACCTGTCATGGCCAAAAACAATCAAATTCCATCTTTTAAAGAAAGAATGGAAGATGGACATTCCTCCTGTTGCAGTAGGTCATACAAATTTCCAAGTTGGGGCTAAAGTCTCTGACAAGGATATCTGGTGAAAGGAAACTACAAGAGTAAAAGGATCCAGCAGGTGATTTATGCTAAGGGTATTTATCTGCAACTAATGATCCAGTTGGAATAAACCTTCCCTTTTGGACTAAGGGAAATTTACAAAACTTCAAGAAAGAATAGACCAACGAGTCCCTGTGTTCAAATTCACAAATGGAAGGGGAGGGTTTAAAATGTGCTCTCTTCATACTTTATATTTCCTCTTTCTGAACTAATAAACCTATAAAACATTTCACCTAATTGTAAACATGCTAATTTTGATATATAAATGGCACAAAGGAATCTAATTCAGGTTTCTTAAACCACAATATGTATCTATTTGCAGAATACACTGTAGTTTAGATAGCTCCCAGGATTACTAGATCTTTCCATACGTTGCAACAAAAAGGGGAAAGGAGTTACGCTGGTGTTAAACTAATATACCAATCTACAGGGTTTCAAACAACTATTCAGAAAATTCACAACACTAGTAAAAGTACATCTAAGTCTGGAAAAAATGAGGAAGATCCCCTAGTGAGACTAGTTCTAACTTATAATAAAATTTGTGGGTATTAAACCCACTATCACCTTTAGGCGTTGCCCTTCTTTGAAAGACAAACTGACAAGTAGCGATTTTGCCCAGAGAAATACCATCTGCTGTAAATATCAAGGCACCTTCCAATGCCAGAGGTGCAAATTCTGTCGATTCGTCCAGACTGGAAGTGAGATATCCACCCCTACTGGTAAAAAATTTAAGGCCCGCCATTTTGTAAACTGTGAGACAAAAGGTGTAATATATCTTATGCTATGCAAATGTGACATGTTCTACGTGGGAAAATAGAAAATAGAATATCGGACCACCTGACAGACATAACAGCCAGAGATCTTAGGTCACCGATAGTTAGACATTTTGTGAACAGCCATAACGGACGAATCGACAGACTTCGCTTCTTTGCTTTGGATAGGGTCCACCCACCTAGACGTGGGGGGGATTGGGATAAATCACTCATACAAAGAGAGTGTAGATGGATTCATCAAACCGAATCGAATGAGGCGCCAGGGCTTAATGACATGATTAATTTTAGCTGCTACCTTTGAACTATATGGTACACCAAACATGATGCTTCTTGTAGTGTAAATGTAAGTGTAATTACGTTCTATTACCTTTATTTTCTTTTTTACTGTATACAATTATGACCCTTTCACAATAACCACTTTTTGATTATTCAACATTGTGCTTTATTAGTATTACTATCGGTATACAAGTATGACTTCTTTATAATAATATTAATCTGTTGATCATTCAATATATTTATGCGATTAAATGTGAATTTGATGTACTTTCAAGGCTTTACAGGAGCCTTTCAATCAAATGTTTTGTTTGTACTATATCTACGTTTATTTTTGGAAAAATGACATGGCTCTGATTGTGCAAAACCCAGTTGGCAATCAGCCTTCGTTAATGTGCTATTTAACACACCTTTGTAAGAGACCAAACACACGCCCCTCTGAGGAAGCCCCCGGTGTGGGGAGAAAACGCGTCAGGGTAACGTGTGGAAGGCTTCCCTGGATTCCCTGGACATATGAGATACTCACATTCGTCTGCTCATCCCCTATACAAGTCCGGATAGGAACGAACATCCTGCTTACAACCTGCCGGCTTGTGAAATAGAGGTGACGGAGCACAACTGGCTGTGATTCGGTTTCGAATGGATGGCTATAACATTTATTTATTCATTTGAAACAAGCGGGTGGCTCCCTGTGCCTTACCG